ATCTTGCCAAGGGCTGAGCAGTAAAAGAGGCACACTAGGCACACTTACACACTAAGGCTTTGTTCAGACAGGAAGCAAAAAATCTGAGTTCAAAAATGCACCTCAAATCGGTAGAACGCGAACAGAAAAAAAAAACACATCCATGTGTTGTTTGAAATCTGATAATAATCAGGATATTTTCACTATGTATTGAATAGTAAATGAGGCAATGAGTCAGTGGTTTTGTACATCAATACTGCAGTAACCAAAGCAGATGCACCAGACACTGCCGACAATGTCTATGTTTCCATCCAAGTAGTGAAAGTACACTATTGTTAAAGAGAGAGAGAGAGAGAGAGAGAGAGAGAGAGAGAGAGAGAGAAATAAATACTTTTATTCAGGAAGGATGCTTAAAATTAATCAAAAGTGGCAGTAAAGCCTTTTACATTGTTACAAAAGATGTCTGTTTTAAAAAGTGCTGTTCTACTGAACTTTCTATGTATCAAAAAATCCTGCAAAAAAAAAGAAATCACTGCATCAGTTTCAACAAAAGTATTAAACAGCACAATTATCTTTGTGCTGTTTTATAATATTAGAATTATAAAGCATATTAGAATGATTTCTAATTATGTTGGGGATGACTGAAAAAGTGATGTGACATGTGGCCAAGTATGGTGACCCATACTTGGAATTAGTGCCCTGCATTTATCCCATCCAAAGTGCACACACACAGCAGTGAACACACACACACAACCTTGGGTTACGAGTCCAACTCTCTAACCATTAGGCCACGACAAGTCACTGTACAAAATATGTATGGATGTATGTAATGTGAATGCACAAATATATTACCAAATATACCTTTCACATTCAGATGAATTTAGCTTCTCTGTGTTGTTTTCAGTGTCCCACAAACTAATCTCATAGTGCAGTGCAAAGAGTCAGCAGTTGATCAGCGGGTCACAGTGAGACACCAGAGCAGCTTTAGTGGCTGAGCCCCTCGTCTCATGTTTCCATCTTTCCCACACACACCCCTGAGCTCATTTGAAGCTGCTGTTCTCTGTTATTAACACTGTGTTAACTCTTTAACTACAGCATCAGACAGAATAATTACAAGCCTAATAAAACACACACACTCTATATATATCCAGAGGGAACACTGTGGGCTTCTGTTGTGTCAGTATGAGTTCACACCAAAATGAACTACATTTGTTCTAGTTTTGAGAATTAAAGACTCAATCGAGCACAGCTGATTTAATTTGTGTGCTTATAAAAGCATAAAATGAAATAGAAGATGGAGATTTAAGTGAGTAATGACTCTGTGCTAACACTTGTTTAAGTGTTGAGGAGTTCAGTTTTTAATGACTGTAAGGTCGATATGGCAGAATAACTTTTTTCGAGATAACATTTTTACATTACATTTTCATAGTTCATTTTGATATAAAAATATATTGGTAATATTTTTAACAACTTTCATTATCCATTAAAAACAGTTAACAGTAAAAAATGAACATATATGAAATAACTACCTGGAATTTTTGTATGTAGAATATACATGCTGTCATTTTGTAATTTATAAGTCCTAATAGGATGAAGACTGTGCTCATGAATATTAATTATGTTACATGATACACTTAATGGCTGAAAGGAAGATGTTGATAAGTGTGCACTAATCAGATGGCAAATAAATGAATCAAACTATTGTGAGGGGCATAGTTCATGAATATTTATTATATTGTTTATAAATTTATCTAATTAATATTCATACATCTCTTAATGTAATTTTTAGGTGAACTATCCTTTTAATTGATGTAGTTTACATGGTCCATTACTTTGTGTGTGTGTGTAGGTGTGTGTGTGTGTGTATGTGTGTGTGTGTGTGTTTTACAGGAATAGCACTGCCTGCCATTGTTCTCCTGTCTGCCTCTTTCCTGAGTACCCCCGACACACTTCCTGTGGTTCCTGACCACTAGTCCACACCAAACACTGATCATACTGTATACTTAACACAAATATCATATAGCCTACATAACACAAATCTATACACATGCAGAGCTGAGAATGTACAGTATGTGTAAAATTATAACATCTGAAATCTCCCAAATGCTCGATATTCACAATTATTAAAGCTGAAGTATTACTTTTTTTTTTTTTCGATGCAATGCCTTCTCCTTTCAAAGCTTGATATGCAAACACAACATTTTGGTGCTATAACAACTCACTCTCAATGCAGCAACATTAACTTGAGTTTGGGGAAGAGTCAAGGTAACTTGTTTGACCACAAGCTTTGGCAACATGCTAAAACATGCTAGCAATCCCTGTTGAAAAAAACTGCATATGCATCATGTGTTGGTTCTAAGCAACTAGCTCCTGCTCAGGACCAGCTTAGGACCAGCACATGACCAGCTAAGGAGGACCAGCTTAAACCAGCTCAAACCATCAGCCATGCTTCAAAACATACCTAACCAGCATATGCTGTTTTTTTTCAACAGGGATACCTAGCAAAATGCAAAAATGTGCTATCAACATGCTAGATAAAACACTAAGCAGCATGTTAAAAATATTTTACATTAATGCATTTAACAGACACTTTTATCCAAAAGAGGAACAAAAGTAATTTGTCAAAGAGCTAACAATAATTGTAATATACAATGCCAAGTTTATTAGACAATTGGCTAGAAAACACAACAACATTATGGTAGCATCACTCAGCAACATGTTAATAACATTACCAATAATGGTTAAGAATCAACAGAGAACATTTAGTAGTTTCTTAAACAACTATCAGGATTTTAATGTGGTCTAATGTGGTTTCATAGGAGTGTCTGACATTGCCTGTTGTGGTTTCGTAAGGTCTACTAAGGTCTTATTTGGTCTCAGGTTGTGTAATATTGCATGTATGAGTTATCATTGGTCTTTCTGATTTTGACATTCTGTCTGTCATTCTTAAAGTGTTTAAAAGTATTTTAACCATTCATATATTTTTTTTCTTGCCAAACTTTACTCTAGTTATTTTTGTAGTTCTATTTGGTGATGCTAGTAGTGAATCAATGACATGCTTCAGCTTTAAATGCATGTGTGTGTGTATGTATGCTCTTACCCTGAGTGTGTGTATGACTACATCTTGTGCTTCCAGTTCTCCTTCCAGAATGCTGAGCAGCATCAGAAGTTCAGCTTTACTGAGAGTCTCCACATTCATCCTGCTGCCCTGTAACACACAAATAGATGAATTCAGTATCTGGGCCCTGAAGCAAAACCGCCGATTTAAAGGTCTGGCAATACAATGTTTTAGCAGGTCATGCACTGTGTAACTTTACTGAGACCAATGAAACTGGATCATACCACACACATACACACACATAGATCAATTTCTCTGGCCTAGAAACGCAATCAAGTTCCACACATTTCATTATTGAATCACTCTTGATCTGAAATGACATTTGTGTTAGTCTGGCATTCATGAACATTAACACACACACACACACACACACACACACACACACACACACACACACACACACACACACACACACACA